TGCAGAACTAAGCTCGGCAATTCGGCCGCCCACGAAGCGGCGTTGCATGGGCACCTGGCGACGCTGCAATGGCTCGAGATGCGCCACGTGAGCCTGCATCTACGCAACAACGAGGTACTAGTACTTTTCGTTTTCTCTCAACTTGGGCAGATGGGTTGCTCTGTCTGTAGCATCACTCGGTGGTGCACTACGCTGCCCACGGCGGGCACGTTGCCCTTCTCGCATGGATGGCCAAGAAGGACCCGTCCCTGCTCCTGCACTGTGACAAGCGCGTAAGAGCTTCTTGTCATCTCTCTCTGGTCGATGACACTGAGAATATTATGATGTCATAGGGCAATGGCATTGCGCACTACGCTGCGAGCAAAGGCTCGGCCGCCGCGATGCAGTGGCTCGCAGATGCGCACGTGCATCTAAAAGCACGCAACGACAAGGTACCCGTCGAGTCATTTCGTCAGCCAACAAGACACGCTGCGTACTAGGGTCAGACGCTGGTGCACATTGCGGCGGCAGCCAACAACGTGGCCATACTAGCGTGGTGTGACGGCAATGACCTGGACATGAATGTTGTCGATCGCCAGGTCCGTCCAACGCAGAAAGGCCAGACACTCATTTGACCGTAGGGGCAAACGCCCGCGCATCTGGCCGCGCGCCGCTGCTACATCCAGACTGTCATGTGGCTCGGTGACCACGGCTGCAACCTCTTTGCTCTGGATCACGCGGTCCGTCGACTCTTATGTGTTTCAGTATAAAAGTATACACAGCATGCGGGGTAGGGGTGTTCGGCCCTTGACGTTGCTCGACAAGGCAGCTTGGACCACGCCAACGAGCTGCACGCGTACTTGCGACGCATCCAAAGTCGGTTCTGTGGAATATTTTACGAGTTGTTTTCCATAGCATTTGAATGGTAGACTCGAACCAATTGTGGGTTGACGACGCCGACCACGAGCGTTCAAAGAAGGCGGCGGTTCAAGCCCCGTCCGTACCATCGGCAAAGGTACATTATTTCTCTTCCACGACTTAGTGAACTAGACTAACCGTCGCCATGCCATAGAACGAGACGGTCCATAGCGCGGCGAAAGCGCTCCAGGCGCAGCTCACGAGCGCGCTGCTCGCACGCAACATTACGGACGCCGACTTTGCCTACACGTACTTGGCAAGTCACTTTCCGGAGACACTCAGCGGCCTCTCCGAGCATTTGGATTTGGCGCCCGCCGAGCTCGCGACGACGTTGGCGTCCATCGCCAAGTGGAGCCTCTACCATCGTCCGCAATGCGAAAATGACGACGACGACAACCAAGCGACCCATGGATAAATCGTCAGGATCAACAGATACAAGCAACATTTATGATCTTTTAAATATTCTAGTGTTATTTTCTGAAGTGGACACCATTGGTCAAATGAGGCATAACTGTATAGATTGAAACACGAAAACTGTCTTTTCGACTGACAAAAAGTAGATTGTTGTCATTCGAGCTCTTATCGGCTTATAGTACGTAGTGTTACAGCGCAAGCTTGGGCTCCCTAGCGAAAGTACTGGTTCGAGCCGAGCCCACCGTAGCTGGCCCCAGTGCCGTAGCCCTGACCTTCCCCGTACGCGTTGCCGCCAGCGTACCCTTGTCCTTCGCCGTAAGTGTTGCCGCCACCGTATGTGTTGCCGACGCCGTAGCCACGGTTGTAGCGCTGGCCATAGTTGGCGCCACCATTACCACCACGGAACCCACCGTAGCCTGCGCCATAGCTGGCAGCACCGCCATAGCCGCGGCCGCCATAGTTGGACGCGCCATAGCCCTGGCCGTACCCCTGGCCATATCCGCCACGCAGGCCGTAGCTGTTACCGTTGTAGTTGGTCTGGGCGTTGTATCCGTTGGCTTCCTGGCCGTACCCATCTTGAACGTCGGTTGATGCAGCAGTCATGGCGCTCAAAGCGATCGCGGCGAGCATCGTTCGGAGGAGGCAGTTCATCGTTGTCGTGGAGAGTCGGAGAGAGCAAAAGGCAAAGTGAGGATATGGTGCAGACTCGTACCGAGATTAATATTGAGGTGCATGGACACCGCGACAGAGTATATGCGCTCAAGGACGCGTTTATACTGGTAGGAACCTCCTGGTTACCCAACCCACCGGGGATTGTTCGCCTGACCCATTTTGGATTCGTTCAAAAGTTGTTGCTTCATTGATATG